AAAAAAAAATGAATTCGCCTGCATGAGAACAGAAAATACACCATTTTTCCGCTTTGGCAAAACACAGTTTGGCAACCAGTTCCATCGCTGGGACTGTCCTGACTCTCCGGGTTCGGCCTCGGTCCCGCTGGAAGAGACACCGGGCAGGCGGAACCAAGGTGGAGGGTCGTGGTCGCCCCACGGGCCCGCATTCCCCTGCGCGCACGGGTTTCAGCCTGTTACCGGAGGGGCGGGGCTGAGTTATCTTCGGGTGCTGTTTCTCTTTTGCTCGTCTCATTCAGGTTTAATAATGTTTAATGTTTAATAAAACTTGCGGGGGACGCAAAGAGAGGGGATGTTAACTTCCCAAATCTCATGCTGACAATGTGGCACCGACAGGAGTTCTCAAACTTTTTGGACTTTGCAAATAACATGAAGCGACGTTGTTTTGTGTCTATCTGCTCACGAATTTCGCTTCATGTGCCTTAAGCTGTGCAATTTGTATTGTTGTTGAATAAGATTGGTTTCTTCAAAAGCCTGGTCAATTGCCAGTGGAGAGCTTGCCGATACACTCCTTCATGAAGACTCTCTTTAAGATGATTACACCTTTCATTGTCAAGGCGCCCCCTTAGCATAGAATAGTAGCACCAACACTAAGAGAAGGGATGAGACGTGTCTTTTATCAAGCTATTGCAGTGTTTGTTTGACTGAGGATCCTCGTGTGCTGAACTGGCTCCTGGAGAAGTGTAGTGCAGTAAAAGAGAAGGTTTGTGTCACTCAAGACTGTCACAGAACAGAACAATACAATTACAGTCTTTTATGTAATATATTACAGTAAATACTACTGGTGAAACACAGTTTTTATAATGGTGAAAACAGGAGCACCTTCTCTACATTTTTGACTGAAATATTTAAACGACAAGAAATACTATCACTATGCAATTCATTAATGCAATTGAGCTCCTCTAAATGTTCTAGTCTGATGAAACCACCCCTGATCCAACCACAGCATCCGAGTACCACCTACACGTCATTCTCTCACAGGACCGCCAGAAATTCCCAATGACGTGCGCGCACACACGTTTAATAATACTAACAACTGGATTTGATACAGCGCCTTGAAACGTGGTTTCTCAAAGCGCTCCGCGGAATGACAACAGGAACAACAACAATTAAAAGCAAGCGATGCCAAAGCACCCTTTCAGCGAGAGGGGTGAGCCTGTTTAGTCGAGCGAAGCAGAATGTGCC